AGTTGTGAGCCGAACACCTATCCTATTGGAAATAAACCTGAAAATTAGCGGGAAGGCGTCGAACTGCCGGAATGACCTCATTCTGTAAAAGTTGTAAATATTTGGGCCCGTTTAGGTTACCATCCATAAAAAATAGACCGACAATATGGTCGCCTAACATCCCAGTCCAAACGTTTAACTTTTGCGGATGCTGCGTTTACACTGCAACACTGAGATGTTTACTTTTTCGAGAATACTACGTTGCAACGGATGGATTGTGTTTTTATATAACAAAAATGAAGATTCGTCAGAAAATAAAACAATTCATTCAAACAGTTCTTGAGTTGGTTGTATCTTGAAACAGTGATACCCATTCCTTTCGTGAACTCGCTGGACAGTTCGAGCATTCACGGTAACTTCCCTAGCAATTTGTACACTATTCCAGGGTTCACTAGCTTCCACAAAAGCACAAATAGCAATATCCTATTTTGACGCTCCTCATCGACAGGTCTAACACGTGGTTCATTACCATCATGACACTTTTTACAACTGTTTACACATCCCAAAGTTTGAAAATGTTTAATGGTATTTCTAACTGTTGAAACACTTAGTGGGGGACTGTTTTCGAAGGCAACAATAAATAAATCAATTACTTCGCGTATCGAATGAATATAGAGGTGGAAACGTGTAACATGTCACAGCGATTTCGATTGTGTTATATGTCAATAAAACAATGTCACAGAATAATAAACAATCAGAATACCCACTCTCCATGGAAAATTAAGTACGCGCATCTCGGTTGCGCAGACGTTCCGCCATGTTTTAGAGGGAACCAGAATTATTAATTATTACATCAATTTTTACTTAAAAGATATCTTTAAAATATTTCAAGATTGACTTTTAATTGGCACAGATTCTACAAAGCAAACTAACTATAATTACTTTGTTACTTTAATTATTTAATTAAACTTCTTTTAAAATGACATTACCGTTATGATTTATGGCTTTTTACATTTTTAAGATTCAACTCTAGTCTTTTTACGGGATTAAAATTAAAATGTTCACAAACTTTCCACCATTATCCGTAAAAAACCTTTTTAAAATTATGCTAATCCACTCACTAACTCTATCCCGATGTCAGATTTCTGTTAACCTCTAAATCTTTTTTGTTGCTTTTTAAGACAGTTTTCTTTAATAAAGATTGCGTTTCTACTCATTTCCCTAGATGACTAAAAGGAAGACAATTAAGCTTTAAGTGAGTCTCGTTCCAGGATCACTTCGGGCTAACAGTTGTGCAGGCCCGGACTGAACGTTTAAGGTATAAGTATATAACCAAAAACGTGAACTCAATGTGTGCTGGAGAAAAGTAGATTCAAACTTTTAGTTATTGTAAGTTAATATCATTGTTTAATATTTATAGAAAAAACAAGAGTGAGTTAGTTTTGCAAAAGATATAAAATGTTACAAGAACAGTATTATAAAAATCTTTGGTGTAAGTAACAGAAAAAACATTATCCAAAATGAAGGTTAAACAAAATTCTAAAATAGCACTGATATTATCCAAATTGACGAAATGCCCCTGAAGATGTTCTAGGAAGCGAAAGTACTTTGACAAGATTTAATTAATAAAACGGTGCTCGATATCTGCCTTTTATTTTATCAAAGTTCATTTATTCAAGCATTCAACCTTATATCAAACTTAAAAACGACTTAAATATTGTATATTTCCGTTCCACGTATCTGAGTCTGCTGCAATAAATTCTTGTAACAAACTGAGGTCAATGTAGGTGTAGGGGGAATGGATTATTACACAACCATTAGACTATATAACACTTTAGTCAGACCAAACTTGGAATATGCATCAGTGTTATGGACTCCTGAAGCCAGAGTTCATATTAATCATATAGAAAAGGTACAAAAAAGATTTCTAAGCTATTTATACCTTAAGAAATACAATGTGTATACTCACCTTATGCCATCAAAAGAGTTGCTTCAAATATTTGGCTTGCAGTCATTAGAGCAAAGAAGAAACATGTGTTGCGTTGTGTTTATTCATAATATCATTAACAATGTTAAATATAAGACATGTGGTTTGATAAACTTTATTAGGTTTCATGTGCCAAAGGTCAACCTAAGGGTAAACAGTAATGACCTATTTTCTTGTAGTCCATATAATTCTTGTGCAATAATAAACTATATGCAATATCAGTGTAATGAGTTAATAACGATCTGTGATATAGACCTCTTTACCTGTAGTGTAAGGGATATTAAAAAATGTTATGAATAAGTATGATAAGTATTGGACTCAATTTGTAAAATTTTATTAACTTGTGTCTTTTTTTGATGTGTTTTATTTTGTGTGTTTTTATTTTGTACTTGTGTGTATATTGTATTTTTTGTGTGTATATTGTTATACCAAGTAATGAGCACTCCTACATGTAATTACTACCTAGGTGTTGCTTGTAAGTTTTAATAAATAAATAAATAAATAATTTTCGGAGTAATGGAATTCTCTATGGTTTTTGCTAGAACTGGTAGAAAATTCTCCTTCTTCATTTTTGAACCATTGTTTTGTATTCCTTAAGTTTACTTTATTTCTCCAGCAATTTTTTAGGGGTATTAAAACTGCTACATCCATCGGCTGCGTAATATGTTGTGAATTAGAATGCAATGCAATAAGAATAATTTTTGTTTTAGTTCAGAAATCACTAAGAGGCAAAGTCAAGTGACTAGAATGGCCATCAACGAAAAATATAATTGGAAACTCAATTTCATTGTTCTTAGCCCAAGAATAAAAAACGTTTGTTATGTACTCATAGAAAGTTTCCGCGGTCAACCACCCACTTTCACTTTTACCAATTGCAAAACATTTTGGCATAGAAGCAGATATACCCGGTGGAATCCTTTCATAAGCAAACTTCACCATACCTGGGGAAACGTTTCCTGCTGCGTTTGCTGTCAAGAACAGTAAGATACTCTTTCTCGTCATTTTGGTAAATGGATGTAAACATTGGAATCTTCCTTGCGTGTAAGAACTCGGCTTCCTTTAGAATTCATATAAAAAGCCGACTCATCGGCATTGAATACTCGTTTAGGATCATTAAAAATGTAATAATTATTCTACTCAAGGTACGATTTAATATCCCTTAACCAGCAGCGTAAATTTTCTCCATGGGCGGATGACCTCCCATTGGTTAGGTTCTGCGCGACTCTTTGTGTCAACTCTGGATGTCTTTGTTGAAAGCGAGAATATCACTTTTTGCCATTTTCTGCAGAATCAATGAGCTGAAGCTTTGTTGCTGGAAAACCAAGATCAGAAATATAAAATAACTATTTGACCAACAGATTTTCTTCATAAGGGGTTAAATTTGTAGCAGGTCCCTTTCTGCATTTTTTAGGACATTTACCACTTTTTTATATATTAATGTAGCTCTTGAAATCCATATTTTTTGCTTGTTGTGGCAACAGGTATTTCGTTGTCAATATCTGCCAGGGCTTGATGTAATGTCTCATTAGAATATTTCTTCGGCATTGTCAACTGAAATACAAAGAAAATCTACATTATTAAACAAATATTATTTGGACCCAGTAGCTAACATTATGTTAGTAACTAATATCAGGCATGGGTGTCAGCTATTGGTACAACATAAAATTATAAAATTTTGGTTGCATTTACAGGGTTATTTATGTGCTTCCTACTTAAATATTTATTCAAAGTATAAAAACATCTGAAACCCCATAGCTGACACTAGTGTCACTTACTGGATACTCCCTCGGATCTTATACCAGTAACTAACACCCCTATCTAACCTTACTTTATTAACATAAAGACTTACCCTTTAAATACACATTAACGTCACACACCGAATTTATATAAACCATTTTCATAGCGTTTTTGCTTAGTAATTTCGGCAAACTATTACCCAAGGTATATGCAGGTATAATATACCTGCAGGTAACAACCACTGTCAGATTACATACTAACAGTAATCGCATAAAAATATAACGGAAGGTTAGACAAGGAGACCCAATGTCACCTAAACTTTTTTAATACTGTGCTAGAACATGCTTTTAAGAATTTGGATTGGACGACAAAGGGAATAAAAATAGATGGAGAATATCTAAACAACTTACGTTTTGCCGATGATATACTTATAATAGCTTAAGATCTAGGTATGGCAAGAGAGATGGTACAGGAACTCGTTGTGGCTACAGAAAATGTAGGTTTAAATATGAATATCTCGAAAACAAAAATCATGATTAATTTGGTGCCCAACCAGAACATCAGTATTGGTGGGAAAGAAATAGAACTCGTAGATAGATATAAATACCTGGGACATGAAATTATGATTGGCAGAGATAACCAGACTCATGAACTGAAGAGAAGAGTCGCCCTTGGGACATCATCGAGAAGATAGTTAGACTAAAATGGAGATGGGCAGGAGACATGGTCAGAATGACAGATGAGCGATGGACAAAGAGGTTATTGGAATGGAGGCCAAGGGAAGACAAGAGAAGCGTCGGTCGACCACCTACAAGATGGACTGACGATTTAAGAAGACTCAATAAAAACTGGATAAGAGCGGCGCAAGATAGACGGTGTTGGAAACATAAGGAAGAGGCCTATGTTCAGCAGTGGACTCTTGAGGCTGGATGATGAAGATGATTACCCAAGGAAGCAAAGACCGCCAATACTACAGACTGTACTGTTTCAAATAGTCTTAGTACATAACTAATTACGTAAATAACTTAGTTATGTACTACTACAGTAAGTAAATAACAAATTCTGGTGTCGCTTATTGGGGTACTATCAGCAATGGGAGCCACTACCTAATAGCTTTAAATTAAAATAATACTCCTATGTATAATAAAAACAAAAAAACTTTTATTATCACATTTACTAGTTAAAACTATACCTGCGTAATTAATTTATGACGTTTAACACGAATGTTAGCATATACATATTGAATACAGTTTGTAGATGTTATCATTCATTAATCATTTACAATATCTGATTCCAGGCTAATTGTGAATCGAATCCGAGAGTCATAATCCCTGGATTGAACAAATATTTGTACGTCAAAATCAGCGGTTCCATCATGAAACATTCGACCCGAAAGGGAAACTCCACCCTTCGAACGATTATTACAGGTCAAAAATGTGACCATTCTAATAGAATTAAGGTAAGTGTTGATATTAGTGCAATATTTAAAAAGCTGTCTAACAACTAGGGATCTAGTAGTCTAAACTTTTTTAAGTTAAAAAGCTCAAACAGAAAAATTAAAAGCTCGGTGTTCTCAAATTTGTAACGAAGATATGTTGCCTACCGCATAGGGTATTATTATTGGGACAGAAATATTATTATAGGGTTGAAAATTGGGAGCAGAAATTATTTTGGTATAGATCATCATCATCAACTAGCCTCTAACGTCCACTGCTGAACATATGCCTCTCGCATGCTTTTCCACTTAGTCCGATTTTGCGCCATCTGAATCCAATTTGTAGTCACTCTTTTTATGTCATCTGTCCATCTCGTTGGGGGTCGACCTCTATTTCTGTAAGCTTGTATTCGGGGTCTCCATTCCAAAATTCTTTTTGTCCACCGGTCATCAACTGATCTTGCTACATGACCTGCCCAGTTCCACTTTAGTGTTGTTATCCTTTCAATAACGTCTGCTACTCCTGATCTTTTGCGTATAGTAGCATTGGGTATTCTATCACGTAGAGAAATCCCTAACATAATTCTCTCCATTGCTCTTTCCGCAACTTGTAGTTTACTCACTGTTGTTCTTGTGAGCGTTAGGGTTTCTGCGCCGTAGGTCATCATTGGCAAAATACATTGATTAAATACTTTTCTTTTCAGACACATTGGAATCTTAGACCTAAAAATATCCTTCATCCTTCCAAATGCAGCCCAAGCGAGGTTTATTCTTCTTTTCAGCTCGATTGTTTGGTTATCTCGACTTATTCTGATCTCATGGCCTAAGTATTTATAGGAGTCAACTGGCTCAATATCTTTGTCTTCTACTGAGATGTTTTTGTTGTGGACTAAATTTTTCATAAATTGTGTTTTTGAAAAATTTATTTTAAGACCAACTCTTTTTGTGGCACTATGGAGTTCTTGGAGCATTATCTGTGCCTTATGAAAGCTGTCTGCAATAACAACGATGTCACCTGCAAAATTTAAGGTTATTTAAAAATTTCCATCTACATTGATGCCCTTTTCGTTCCAATCTATTGTTTTACAAGCGTATTCTAGCAGAGTTATAAATAATTTAGGAGATATGTTGTCTCCTTGCCGAACGCCTCTTTCTGTGAACTCTTTTTGTGGCAGTATGGAGTTGTTGGAGCATTATCTGTGCCTGATCAAAGCTGTCTGCAATAAGACGGTTGGTATAGATAGGGCAAGCAAAATAAACGAAACTTATGCGAACGGCGCTCAGGGTTTGTTTGAAGAGCTGGGTTCGTGGATAAGTTAAATAGCAAGGGGGTGGGATTGGGGCAACTACAAAAACGAAACAAAGGGGTACTTACTTAATTAAACATTTATTGTTGTCTCACAACAAAGAGTTACAAAATAGATAATGCAAAAATATTATATTAACAGTCACAAAAGTAAACACAAAAATAAAAAAGAAACACTTACTATATCCAATTTGTTTACAACACTCGTTTACAAGTGGGAAATGCTACAAAACTTACAAAAAATTGTTACTAAGCTATAATAATTAACAAAAATAAATCATTACAAATAAAAATTATCTTTACAAACTCTTATGAAAGCAATTATTAATAAAAATGTCTTATTTTTCTTTTAAAATTTAAACACAAAAGTTTAAAACAAAAAATAATTACTCTGGGTTTCACTAAAATCCACTTGAGTTGCAAACTGGACTTACTAAAATTTCTGAAGATAGGAACTGGACCGGGAATCTCTGACACATGAACAAAAAGACTGCATCCATTGTCTGGAACGACGATCATGGACAAACATTGAGGTTAAAGTTACACTATGGCTTGGCTTCTTACAACACAGGAATAGGTACAACTGGATAGAATGGCAACATGTGGTTATCTTTCAAAACCTCATAACTCGAAACTCTAACTACACGTACTGCCACAAAACTACTAATTTTTCATAAAATAAGACGGAAAACAAGGAAACATTACAAACTAGACGTAATTTGGAAAAACGCTAAAGCCAAGTGCTCTTGACAAACACCTCAGCGAGAGTGATAAAATTATCTTCACAAATCATTCGCTTAACTTGGTATAAACAAAACATACAATGGGAATATTTATTTGAAACGCAGAATATCCTAAAAGCGGCTTTCGATCAAAAGAATGCCGAGAAAATGCGCATCTATGAAATATAAACAAACTTTTACAACGTGTTTATATCAACTTGGCGACGAAAAAGGGATCGAAATATATTTTGGGTATTTTAACTTATACTATACGAAACATTGAAATTATTCTTTAGTGTTTTAATACATATACAAGGGGATTTCAATATATACCAAGGAATTTACAAATGCTACAAATTTGACGCGGTTCATTGCGAAAACCAGGTGATTGCTTCTCTTATAATTGCTTTAAAAATACCTTTTAAACACTGAGCAGCTCATACTATTACAGTACTGTGCGAATTAATGGAATCATACGCTGTTTTAATGAAAAACCAGTTTATTTAAACAAAAATTATAATTTGACAAAACTCTAAAGGTAAACTTACATCAGGAAATATGTCAGTAGCAAATAGGTTCTCCTTTGGCCGCAATTACTGCCTTTATCCGTTTGGCATAGATTCTACGAGCTTCTGACAGTTCCCAGATATCCTTTCATCTCGAAACCAAACCTGAATGACCACTTCTATAATTTTTATTTTTGTATTATAGCCGATTTTGTGCAGTCTGGCGTTGAGGTCTGGCGAATTACTGGGCCAATCTTAAACATTATTCTTCTTATTTTTAAAAAATCCATCATTTCCTTTAACTTATAACAGGAAGCAGAGTCCTGTTGAAGAATTGCTCCTCCTTGGGGCTGATATTTCCGGAGTTATGTGTCCAAATGCTGTTCCAACATGGATTTGTATTTTTTTTGTTCATGATGCCTTCGTTTGGTACCAAATATCCAACCCCCATGTATGAAAAAGATCTCCAAAACATTTTTTTGTGTGGATGTTTTACGGCTTGATCAATATGAAATGGTGTAAGGTTTTCATTGTCAGACTTTCTGACAAATTTTGACCGCTTTCCCTGAAAGTGAGTTTCATCTGTAAATAAGAGTTTTTCCCTGTCATCTACAGACCAATTAGAGTATTTTTGACTTACAATAGCCTTTTCTTCATTCGTTCAGTTAGAAGCTTTTTTTTCTGTGGACGCATTAACCTTCTACCATTCTCCAAGTATTTTTCAAACAGTTGAGTCATGAATCACTACACTCAATGCTGATAGATGTTGTTAAAACTCTTGGCTTGTTTTTCTTGGATCCAATTTCCTCTTTCGAAATAAAAATCTTTTATCTGCTAAGATTGTTTTTTTCTTTCTTCCACATGTTCCTAACAGTTTCACATCTATCCATTGATCCCGTTTCTCGTTTACGCTTCAAAATCTTGCTTACTACCCTCTAACTAACTCCACACGTTCCTGCGATTTCTCTGTGTGACATAGAAGTGTGTTCACTTAACGTAATAATCTTTTCACGCTTCTTAAAAGTAATATCCATGATGGAAATAAACGAAAAAAACTCACTAATTACCAAAAACAACACAAAATAGTACAAAACAACACAAACTTAGTGGGAAATGCCCTAAAACACCCTCAAATAAAATGCAGACAAAAGTAAGGTTATGTTTTCAATGCTTGGTCAGTTGTAAATTTATGGACAGTATTGCCAACTGTTAAGTTGGTATATTAAAAAATGTCACAATGATTCCATTAATTTGTATAATACCGTATTTTATTCTTGCACCGAATATTTAAAAACATTAATATTTTAGGTTCACACAGCACTCTACTCTGCTCTAATATGCCCCTACGAGTCTTCCTACCGCCAACACCTTGTAGAAGTATTCTCTGAGGGATGGAACATTAAAAAAGAGGATAAAGCCGTCGACGGTATAGCTTTGGATAAAATTGAAATTGACCGTCTGGGAATCGAGTTGTCTAAAACTATTGTATTGGAGTTTTACGGAAAAGAGGAAGCGGAGTATTCGGTTAACTGGTTGGAATTGTCTAGAAGGTAAATTAAACTAGATAGACATTTCATAAAAATGTATAACTTACTTTATTTTTAATCATTTTATACTTCTATAATCGTTTATAAATAATAAACGATTTAAAAAACTTTATACATCGAAACAAACTTTGCCCCAAATAAAAATTAGGTTTATTTATTAATTTGTTAGCAATGATTTTATTGATTTTTTAATTATGTTTATACAGTGGTTGTTGAAATTACATTAAAAATGAAATATGTTATTGGAGTATATATACATATGTTGTATTTTTAGAACCAAATTTTTTCATTTATTTTTACATGTCAGCGATTTATGACACTTTGAATTACATTTTTTGTTCCTTTGTTTTCAGGAACATTTATTGTCGCTACAAAACCTTTTACAGTTGCATCTGAGAAAACCTTGACCAGAACCTTTGGGTGATATGTTTGCTGCAGTTCTCAATTGCGAATCGGTTTGAAGGAGTTCATTTCTTGAAAATAATCTATCCAGTGGTCCATTCTTAGTACTGAATTTGTACAAGCCATCATTATTAATTTCAGAAACAACGGCTAATACATTTCTCGGAGTTAATCGACCCCTATCAACATCCGGTATTCGAATAAAAACATTAATCCCTTTTTTTAAAGGAGCAAATTTTTTATTTGACTCACATCATCTTTAATGCTTGAACTCTCATCATTTTATGTGTTTCTTCTCTCTCATTCAATATTCTCTTACGTCTTTAGTTTAACTGATCATTTAAATTGCTGTCAAATTTGCCTTCTCGTATATTGGGTGCATCTTCACTATTTTTAATCAGGTTATTATTGTACAGGATTTCCAAATATTCATTCTTATATTTGTCTTGATTCTTTAAATTCTCTTAACAGGGATCTACACTTAACAAAGAGAACCAAACAGCAGAGATCAAGAGACGAGTTAGACTGGCATGGGCGGCATTTGGCAAACTAAGCTACATTCTTAAAAACAAAAGATATCCACAGCATCTTAAGACCAAAGTATATAATCAATGCGTACTCCCTGTTCTTACGTATGGCTCCCAAACGTGGACATTTACAAAAGCAAACATGGACAAAATCATAAAAACCCAAAGAGCAATGGAAAGACAAATGTTGCACATAAGACTAATGGATAAGAAGAGAAACGAGTGGATAAGAGAGAAAACAAAAGTGAGGGATGTTAGACAAGAAGTTGCAAAATTGAAATGGAGATTTGCCGGACACAATATAAGGCAAAAAGAAGACCGATGGAACAAAATTCTTATAAGTTGGAGACCGTGGGAATATAAACGAAGCAGAGGAAGGCCCCAAATGAGATGGGCAGATGATATCAAGAAGCACGTGGGCTCTAGATGGATGACTGTAGCGACAGACAGAGAAGAATGGAAAAGGATTGGGGAGGCCTATGTCCAAAGATGGACCGAAGAAGGCTAATTAGATAGAGGGATCTACACTGTTATCTTATTCTCCATTTATTAAATTATCATCATTATGTTCGTTTTCCCATGCTATTTATGAATTCTTCCAAGTCTTCTTTATTTTGTAGTTTATCAGAGACATCTTCGGAAGGTCTGCATCTTCTAAACCATTTATTTGTCTGCTGCCAACCATGACCTTATAAAGGCTCCTATCAATTCCTCTATGAAAAGATCTGTTTTTCTTGGACTGTATAAATCTCAACCTTTCGTACCATTTTGTATTATTATTACCGTTTACCCAGGTAATCAACATAGTCCTGACATCTTGATTAGCCCTGTCTACAGAGCCTTGACTTTGTGAGTGTTTTGGTCGAACTATTTTTAGACCAGGCCACATAGTAGTTAGTTCTACAATAACCGATTTGGCAAACCCACAGCCATTGTCATTTTGCAAGATATATGGAGCACCTACTAGACAAAAAATATCAACGAAGTAGTCAGCCACTTCAAGTGCTGTTTTGGTTTTCAATGGTATTAAAAACAAACATTTAGTCAAATGATCTTGGTAGTTTAAAATAAAGTTATATAGACCATCGGGCTCTGATTGTATATCTATCAAGTCAACCTACAATATGATTAATATTATCTTTTTATATCAATGAATTATTAGCTCTTTATAATTATCTGACATCTACAGTTCATATTTAGAAATTATAAGCTTAAAAACCAAGCCTGCCTTTGTATTTTTTTTCTTCAACTGGCATAACTCGCATTTACTAAGGCACAAGTTTATAATTTCTCGGGTTATATTTAAGTATTTTTCTTTTAACTCATGCTCTATTCCTATAAACAATGAAAAAATGTTTAAAGCCTTTTTGACAAGAACTTGATAGAGAGAGAAAGAGAGAGAGAGAGAGAGAGAAAGAGAGAGAGAGAGAGAGAGAGAGAGAGAGAGAGAGAGAGAGAGAGAGAGAGAGAGGTACCTAAAAACTGTGCCTAACGCATATTTAAAAAAACGGAAATATATACCTACCTTTTTCTCTTTATCATCCAGCCCCATTTTCACATGCATCGTTGGATATAGGCCTTCTCCAAACGCCTCCAGTTCTCTCTATCTCTAGCTGCTGCAACCCAGTTTGTTTCTATTCTCCTTAGGTCGTCGGTCCATCGGGTGGGTGGTCTGCCTCGACTTCGCTTGTCGGCTCTTGGTTTCCACTCCAATAATCTCTTCGTCCATATTTCGTCTTCCATTCTAGCAACATGTCCAGCCCACCTCCACTTTTGTTTATTGATTCGCAGTATAATATCGGCGTATCTCCTCATTTCTCATGCGATCTTTCAAGGTCAGGCCCAGCATTGATCTCTCCATTCGCCTTTTTCTCTTATATATCCTATATTTATGTGTGCTCTATGCACAATATCAAATAATTGCTCACGATGAACAACAAATTTGATTTTCTCTTCGTTAGTGTTTCTTTTGGCTATTAAATGTTCATTTTCTCCAATGTTTAATAATTCATATCGACTGAGTCTTCAATAATGTTTATATAATAGTCCTTTGACAAATCTTCCAATTCTTGTGCTTCTTTAACTTTATAAATTAGTTTTTTATAGTAGCCTTCTAAAAGTAGCGTAGACCTAATACTTGACTCCGCGTAAACTTTATTTAAACCATCCTTGAATTCCTTTTTAAGGTTTTCGATTGATTAACCCATTGCATTAGAAATTATCGAAAACAAAAATCATGACCAATTTGGTACCCAACTAGAACATCAGTATTGGTGGGAAAGAAATAGAACTTGTAAATAGATATAAATACCTGGGACATGAAATTATGATTGGCAGGGATAACCAGACTCATGAACTGAAGAGAAGAATCGACCTTGGGTGGGCAGCATTTGGATAACTGAGAGAAACTTTTAAAAGTGAGCTGCCCACATGCCTAAAGAGAAAGGTATTTGATCAGTGCGTCCTCCCAGTCTAGACGTATGCAGCAGAAACACTTACCTTAACAAATGCCGCAGCTACTAAACTGAGAGTCACGCAGAGAAGAATGGAGCGGTCCATGTTAGGAATAACTCTGTGAGACAGAATAACCAACGAAGACATCAGAAGAAGAACCGGAGTGACTGACATCATCGAGAAGATAGCCAGACTAAAATGGAGATGACAGGACACATAGTCAGAATGACAGATGGGCGATGGATAAAGAGGTTATTGGAATGGAGGCCAAGGGAAGACAAGAGAAGCGTCGGTCGACCACCTACAAGATGGACTGACGATTTGAGAAGACTCAGTAAAAACTGGATACGAGGGGCGCAAGATTGACACGGTTGGAAACACGAGGAAGAGGCCTATGTTCATCAGTGGACTCTTGAGGCTGGATGATGAAGATGATTAGAAATTATCAGAAACTACACTTAATAAAACTCGTGTTACCGGTAAAATTCGATATGCGATTTCTGTATTTTCTTGTGTGGGTATTTATATTGACCATAAAGCGAAATTCGTCGTGTGTTTCCGACGATCTTCGTAGATGCGCATTGTGGGTCATTGTAATTTATTCACAACGCGCTCTGTGCATTTAAGAAATACCCGAAACGCGATGTGAGAAATTAACGAAATTCACAACGCATTGTGGGTATAAATTTCGGTCAATGGCCAAATTCGGATATTGAGTATAACATATACACAATTATTGTTTTAAATATATATTTCAATTGCTTCTGCCAAGCCACTTTTTTCGCGGTCGTCCTCTTCTCTTCTTTTCTTCGCGTCTCAAACGGTATCCATCTTTCTAAATCTGTCAATCTAACTTGGTGTCCAAAAAAGTTAGTCTTCTTGTTCTAATAATCTGGCTCTTTTCTGGTGTTCCATGCATATATTTTAATTTATATTAAATATCTCTTTCCAATGGTCATCATCATTTAACCCGGACCTATCCACTGCTGGATATAGGTCTACCTCAGTCTTTTCCATGTATTTCTGTTTTGTGCTGTTTGCATCTAATTTTTGTCGATCCGTTTTATGTCATCAGACCATCTTGTTGGTGGACGACCTCTACTTCGATGTGCTTCTTGTCTCGGTGTCCACTGTATTATTCGCTGTGTCCATCTGTTATCCGACATTTTAGCTATGTGCCCCGCCCAGTTCCACTTAAGGGTCATAATTCTTTCTATGGCATATGTCCCTCCTGTTCTCCGTCTTATTTCCTTGTTCGTGATCCGATCCCTACGAGAAATTCCTAACATCGATCGTTCCATGGCTCTTTGGGTAACACAAATTTTATTTCTTACTTTCTTGGTTAGTGTTAATGTCTCTGCACCATATGTAAGTACTGGCAACACGCACTGATTAAAGACTTTTCTTTTAAGACACATAGGCTGTTCTGATTTAAGAACATAGCTCAGCTTGCCGAATGCCACCCAAGTGAGTCCTATGCGGCGGCTTAGTTCGCACGTTTGATTATCTCTTCCTATGCGTATCTTATGTCCTAAGTACTTATAAGAGGTGGTTTCTTCAATATGCATGCCATTTACTGAAATCTTTTCGCTTAACACAAGATTTGTCATGATTTGTGTTTTTGTGTGGTTGATTTTTAATCCAACTTGTAGGGAGGCTAGGTATAGTTTCTCCAGTTACGATACTGCATCATCGATTCTGTCAGCAAAAAGGACAATATCGTCAGCAAACCTCAAATGACTAAGTATTTCTCCATTGACATTAATTCTTTTTTCACTCAGATTTGCGTTCTTAAACATATGCTCTAATAATGTTGTAAACAATTTTGGTGAAATTGTGTCTCCCTGTCGCACTCCCCGTTTTATTTTAAATACTTTGGTCTTTTTATCTGCCACTTTCACGCTTGCTGTCCCATTTTGATAGATGTATTTTATCATGTTTATATAGCGATGATCTATACGGCACTCTGTTAAGGCTTTTAACATCTTTTGATGACTTATTGTGTCGAAAGCTTTTTCGTAGTCAACAAATATCATGACTAATGGCTTGTTATATTCAACACTCTTTTCTATTAAGTTCTTAATTACTTGTAAATGATCGTTCGTGCCATATCCTGCTCTAAAACCTCCTTGCTCTCTTGGCTGATATAAATCCAACTTACTTCTTAGCCTGTTGGTAATAACTCTTGTAAATAGCTTATATACTTGTGACAACAAGCTAATGGGGCGGTAGTTTCTAAGGTCGCTGATATCTCCCTTCTTATGAAGTAAGATGATTTCCGCGTTGTTCCACTGCGTCGGTGTTATCGCTTCGCACAGACATTTATTGAACAGTTTAGCAAGTGTCAGTAAGAGCGTATTTCCTCCTAGTTTTAGGCTTTTGGTCATTACCTTGTCTTCACATGGTACATACAATGGTACTACAGCCCAAATCGAGCCTTGGTCTCCTCCTAACTATGCTTTAAACCTTGCCAATCCCGCGCTGATCTTCCTCAGGTCCACACGTCTAGCAAATTTGTCGCGTCCACTGCCCCTCCCACCTTTTCCGTGGTCTTACTTTTATCTTGCGCCCTGCATTTTTCTATCTAGGGTTTTTTTGGCAATCTTTTGTTCTCTATTTTCACTACATGACTAGCCCATCGAAATCTTTGAAGTTTAATGAATTCTGAGATTGCTGCCTCTTTGAACAGTTTGGTAGAGTTCATGGCTGTATCTGGATCTTTATACTCTGTTTTTTGTTGATAGGTCAAAATATCTTCCTTAGGACTTTTCTTTTGAAGACTTCTAGCTTTCGTTTTGTGTAATCTGTCATCACTCATGTCTCGCATCCATAACATATGGATTTATTAAATACATTCAACTTATTTTCTGGTTTTTTTGTTTATAACCCAGTAGTGGCGATCTTAAAGGACCGTGACCTCCTAATAGTTCTTCTTTAGAGAGAAATGCTGTTAGAGAAATTATTTCCATCAAACTGTTTGATGTTTCCACCATTTTGTCATTGAGTTCTGTACCACGTTTTCCGTAAACACTTTATTTCCTTATAACCACTATGTAATTCCTTTAATTTCCACAACTTTGGGTCCATAACCTCTAGGAAGGAATGGTGAGAAATAATCTACTTATATAGAATATTACAAACAGTACATTGACAAATATAAACGTTTTAATTATAACAACAATATCTGGTTAGAACATGACCTTCTTGTTGACTCGTTTAAATACTTGCCATGCACAGATAGTGCCAACCCTTAACACTAAAAAGATGAAAATACCAACAACAGTTTTTTTGTAGTAATATAAGAATATGTAAAATCCGTTTTAAGCAGTTTTTAATCTGTATATGTATAATTTGTAGGCGGGACGTTCCTCCAAATGGACTGGGTCTTTTTATGATGAGGCCAGATGAGTGCCAGTACCGCTGTCCAGAACTGGACGCCTGCATCAATGCCAGCGTATGGTGTGATGGAGTAGAAGATTGTCCTTCAGGAGTAGATGAAGCCATAACCCATTGCTCATTGATATTGCAACTACCGCCAGTATATCTGTTCTTTGGTGCTTTAGGAGTTATTCTCTCTAGGTAAAGTGTGACTTCTATACATGTGACATTGTAAATTATGGAAACATAAGAAGCTGTAGAAATTTTGAAAGCAGCATAAAGAAATTGTATAAATTAATGTATTTATATTAATCCTAAATACATTTTTTTTTTCAGTTTTCTTACGGGTGTCATACTCTGGAAAACCTGTCGACGAAGACCAAGATCCATTCTTCAAACTAGGCTCAAAAGTTTGTCTTCCGACACTGCCATCATCGACGATCGCGACATAATTTGCTGACACAGCGACAATTCTGTGCGGTATGTAGAAATCGACAGAGTGACGACTGTCTGACGCACAAATTTCTACTTATCGTGCGGAATTGTGATTAGCAAATCTTTTTTATACGTTTTGGTGTCGATTTCGAAACTGGACCGTTTGTAATTTAGTGTTTTCAAGTAGTTTTGCCAATGAACAATCGAAGTAAATATATGTTAACTCTCTGAACAGTTTATCAATGTCAATAAAATTAAATAACAATAAAATTAAACACAATATGAAGAAATCAGTTTTAATAGAATCTTAAGATGAAAATAAAAGCAACAAAAGATAACTAGTGATCTATCTTCGGTAACTCTGGTAGAAAACAAGATGAAGTTGAACAAGATGAACAGGTTAACATAATACCAATCAAAATATAGAGAACTATGTTTGTGTAAGCATTGATACAACTTATTCACAAAAAATCTTAGAGGGCCTAAAATTTACATATTAACAATCTACCTGGGTTCAGGAACCAACATATTTTCTTCTTTCTTCTTCTTCGTCGTTTTCACATTTTAAGTTCACGGTTTTTGTCCTCCACAGCACTCTATTCTCCCAATAATCTTCTCTGACGTCTCTATCTATCATAGCATTTTCTAGGTACGTTTTCGATCTTAAAGCTGGTGGGTCCCAGTCCAATTTTCTTTTTGGCCACCTGTGCTCTGGCATTCTTTGAACATACCCATACCACTGCAGAGCTCTGATTTCCAACTTTTTTAATTGAGGATTCTACTTCTATTCTGTTTCATATTTCTTCTGTTCTTATTCTATCATCTCTGGTAATTTTTATCTTCTCATATATTCCAATTTTACTGTTCTTATTTTATTTCGTTTTGTTGCTGTTATTTATTGGCCCTACTTCCGCTCCATATTGGGTAATACTCAGCACTTTGCTCTGAACGATTCCTTTTCTTTGTTTTCTTTGATGAGGGTGTTGTTCCAGATCACTCCAGGGAGTGTTTTTGTGGCGGGTTTTCCCCGTACAATTGTCTTTATATCTCTCATACAAGTACAATCTCGGCATATCATTGACACTAAATACTTAAAAAAAAGTCTTACAATTCTTAATAATCTCTTCTTCTAAACCTAATTTTAAATCAGCAACTTGGGATCCAATATATTAGTAATCGGTCTTACACATATCTTGAGTCCCCATGCTCGTATGTTTCCCTTAATTTTCTTATCACATATTCCATATCCTTTCTGTCTTGGCAGTATTAAAAAGTATAGGTGATAGACCACATCCTTGTTTGGAGCCTTTTGTTGCGGTGATTGATGGTATTATTTTATTGCGTAACTTTATTTGCAGATATGTTTCTTTATAGATTATTTGTGTTTAATTCGCCTATTTTTTTTTTAACTACATTCTTCAAATTGTAAGTTGTTTCCTGGGCATGCTATCGTATGCTTTCTCCAAGTCCACAAAAGTCATATGCGTTACAATATTTTTCTCCTTGTTCTCTTTTATCACTTCTCATGATGAATATTATCTAGACATGATCTGGTTTTTCGAAATGTGGCTTATAAATTGCAGTAATGGTCCATGCGTTGTTCTATTATTTCTTTTATAACTGTGAAAAATATTCTTGCTATTGAAGGCATTACACTAATCGTTCTATAGTTATTTTGATCTTTTATCACTTTTTTTTATTTCGTTCATCTGAAATCTTCTTTTCTGCTTGGATTTGATTGAACAACACTTGTATAAAGAATACGATCCATGCGCATTCATATTTCAGCAGTTCTATTTTTATGTTTTCTGGTCCTGGTGCTTTGCTGTTTTTGGCCTTATTTAGTGCTTTAGTTATATCTTCGCCTGTGATTTCGGCTCCCTTTGATGTTATTGTCACAAAGTCTTGTGAGATATACTATTGTCTATTCTTCTGCAATAATTTTGTGTAATGCTTTGTCCACTTCTTTGATGTAATGTTTTTTTTTTCATGTTTCCGTTGATTAATTACACCCCATTGTATTTCTACACATTCTCGTCCCGTATTCGTTCTTCTCAAATCTTATTTTTTGCTTCACTTATTGTCTGGGGGATATATAGACATATTGTCAGCGAGTTTTAAACACTTTTTGTTGTATATAAAGCTTTTTCTATCAGAAGCTTCCGGTATACTGGAACAAATTAGTCGGTTAAATGTAAGACACTGAATTATATTACCCGGCTTAAATAAATGTCTTTTCTTGAGTGATTTCTGGTTCTATAGATCCTTTTGTAAGATCCAGGATCTCTGACACAAAACCACTTTACTGGCACTTTAAGAATCCGTGATTAATGACGAGCCAGATTTACTACGATTTGCTGTTTTTCCTGTTTTCCTTCTTTTCTATTGTCTATTCGCATTCCATGGATACAAAAAATTACCAATGGTGAGGTACTTCGGCGCATGAGTAAACAAAAAGAATTACTCAAATTACACCATAATCAAAGAGAGAGAAATACAATACTTGGGTCATGTGTTGAGTGGTGAAAGATTATAAATTATTCCAAATTATATTGGAAGGTAAAGAGTAGGGCAAAATATCAGTTGGAACACGCCAGAACTCATAGATGAAAGACCTGAGGAGATAGTTTGACCGCTCGTCCACAGAAATCTTTCGGGCAGCAGTTTCCAAAGCTACAATTGCTAGAAGAAGATTCTCTATTCTCTAAATATATTATCTTCTGAGTATATTCTCTAAAAGTCTGTCTCCTCTAATCTTTACGACTTCTATAACGATGTAATCTTCTCAAACTTTATTTCTTTTCATTTTTTTCAGTACATTCCTTATTTCGTCTCTTGATATATCAGGCATCAAGTCCGATCGTTGGTTGACTATTAGTTTTCAGATTCTAATTTAAGTCGATTAAAAAAACCCTATGGTAAATAGGGTGTTTCAAAAAGGTATGTCATAAATTAAATCACGCATTCCGGGGACAAAAATAAATTGATTGAATCCAACTACCTTAGTATAGTACGAAAGTGTACACAAAAAAATTACAGAGCCCTATAAAGTTACAAAATAAAAATTGTTTTTTTTGCATTATCTCCTAAACTACTTGACATTTTGTAATAAAATAGACACGTTACTTTCTTGTTCTGAAAGTATTTTTCATACAGAAGAAACAACAAAATCTAAGCGCACAAAAAAATGTTAAGGGGTCTGTGCAGCCCTAACTCCTCCCAAACTTTTGAGTACAATCAAATCAAATGAATTTTGTGGCATCATTAGGTTAACACATTCTTTTTAAAAAATTTTTGCCTCCTATCACTTTTTTCAAAAAACAGTTTTTAATGAGCAAGTTTTTAGTGCAACTAAATAAATGCCTTAAATGAAAAAAATGTCTATAACTTCTATAAATATGATATTATAGTAAATATTCAAAATGACCCCCATTTTCTTTAAAACACATTCGGTATCGTTTTAATACGGAAAACCGAATGCGCTGAAAAATCATATTTTTCTGACGAAATAGATTTGCAGCTTCAAATATTCTAACCATCATTTATTGCTTGTTCTCTATTGTTACAGAATACACTTTCTGTTTCATAAATCCTTAAAAGCAAAAGTCCATTTGGTTAAGACCTGGGTGGCCAAGAAATAGCTGCGTCACGACCCTTTCCAATTCACCGACCAGGATACTGCCTGCAAAGGTATTCCCGGACTGCATTACTGTATTGCAGTGGAGCGCCATCTTGTAGAAACCACATATTTTGCCTTATTGCAATATTCACTTCTTATAAATATTCTTATAAATTGTTTGCCAATAACTGCAAATAATTATCACCATTTAAATTGTTGAGAAGAAATACTGGGCCTATTAGATTATTATCCACAATTCCTGACCAAACATTAACTTTGAAAGTCCTTTGGTGATGAGTCGTTTTTTTGACGTGAGGATTTTCGTCGGCCCAAATGTGCTCGTTATGATGATTTGATATTCCATTTCTTCTGAAGGTAGCCTCATCGGTAAACAAAATATTTCTAATAAAATTAAGATTTCGAGTGTTTTCCATTAACAACCAATCGCAAAATCCAATCCTTTTAGAATAATCTTCAACCAATAACTCTTGAACCGTTGTTAAGTGATAGGGTTTAAGCAGCTGATCCTTTAAACGCCTCCAAACCCTTACGTGAGAAACATTTAATTGAGCAGCTATTACCCTTGTACTTGTTTCAGGGACTTCTTCAATGGTTTCTAAAATATCTTCATCAGTTGCATTCATTATTGGACGACCGCTTTTGGCAGCAACTTGTGGTTGGAATGTACCCGTTTCCAGTAAACGACGATCAATGGTCAGAAATAATCCTCTATCGGGTGTATTTCGATTGGGGTATTTTACTGCATAACGTCTTGCGGCTGCTGCACATTCACATACGATATTCCCGATAGTTTATTGAAATCATAATTTAATCTGATCTAACTTACTCAAAGTTAAATGCATATCTGCCATTTCCTGAAATGTGTAGGCCACTGTAATATCAAAATGTTTAATATTAATCTTATTCACACAATAAATGATAACTTATCCGATATTCGATAAATGATAGCTTCAAATTATTGACTATTATTGATGGAACTGTTTGTAATTATTGTATTCGTAGAAACTAATTGTAATTTTATGGCCAACTAGAAAAAAACTAGTTTTTCGAAAAAGTGATGAGGCAAAAAAGTTTTATAAGTAATGTGTTAAACTAATGATGCCACAAAATTTAGTTGATTTGAACGTACTCAAAAGTTTGCGGGGATTTAGGTCTGCACACCCCCTTAAAATTTTTTCTGTGCGCTCCGATTTTGTTGTTTCTTCTGTATGAAAAACACTTTCAGAACAAGAAAGTAACCGTGTCCATTTTTACTACAAAATGTCAAATAGTTTAGGAGATAATGCAAAAAAAACAATTTTTATTTTGTAACTTCATAGGGCTGTAATTTTTTTTGTGTTCACTTTTGTACTAAGGTAAGTTGGATTCAATTAATTTATGACATA